CCAAAAAATCCCACCCCAAAATCCCCAAAAAACAAAAAATCCCATCCAAAAATGCCCAAAAAACAAACAAACAAACAAAAAAAAAAACAAAACCAAAAACATCCACCCAAAAATCACAAAATCAAAAAAAAAAATCCTGCACAAAAATCCCCAAATTCCCAAAACATCCCATCCAAAAATCACAAAATCCAAAAAAAAACCAAAAAATCCACCCAAAATTCAAAAAATCCCATCCAAAAATCACAAAATTCCAAAAAATCTCGCAGAAAAATCACAAAATTCAAAGAAAAATCCACCCAAAAAGCCCCAAAATTCCAAAAAATCCCATCCAAAAATGCCAAAATCCCAAAAAATCCACCCAAAATTCAAGAACTCCCACCCAAAAATCCCAAAATTTTGGATTTTTTTTTAGATTTTTTTTTGGGGGGGGGGATTTTTTTTTCTTTTGGGGATTTTTTTTTTATTTTTTTGGATTTTTTAAAAATTTCATTTTTATTTTTTGGATTTTTAAAAATTTTTGGGGGGATTTTTTTTAATTTTTGGGGGGATTTTTTGGGGGATTTTTGGGGATTTTTTTGATTTTTAGGGATTTTTTTCATTATCATTTTTAATTTTTGGGTTTTTTGGAATTTTTTGGGTTTTTCTTTTAATTTTTGGGGGGATTTTTTTTATTTTTGGGGGGATTTTTTAAATATTTTTGGGGATTTTTAAAAAAAATTTTTTTATTTATTATTTTTTCAGATTTCTTTTCATTATTTTTCAGGATTTTTTGGGATTTTTAAAACATTTTTTGGAATTTTTTTATTTTTTGTGATTTTTTAAAAATTTTTTTCATTTCAATTTTTGGGTTTTTGGGGGGATTTTTTTCAATTTTGGGGGGGATTTTTGGATTTCTTTTGATTTTTGGAATTTTTTTAAATTTTTTGGATTTTTTTTACTTTTTGTGATTTTTAAAAATTTTTTTCATTTCAATTTTTGGGTTTTTGGGCTTTTTGGGGGAATTTTTTTCAATTTTGGGGGGGATTTTTTGATTTTTTTGATTTTGGGGATTTTATTTTTTAATTTTTTGGAATTTTTTTTTTGTGATTTTAAAAATTTTTTTATTTTAGCAGGCATTTTTTAAATATTTTTGGGGATTTTTAAAAAAAATTTTTTTATTTATTATTTTTTCAGATTTCTTTTCATTATTTTTCAGGATTTTTTGGGATTTTTAAAACATTTTTTGGAATTTTTTTATTTTTTGTGATTTTTTAAAAATTTTTTTCATTTCAATTTTTGGGTTTTTGGGGGGATTTTTTTCAATTTTGGGGGGGATTTTTGGATTTCTTTTGATTTTTGGAATTTTTTTAAATTTTTTGGATTTTTTTTACTTTTTGTGATTTTTAAAAATTTTTTTCATTTCAATTTTTGGGTTTTTGGGCTTTTTGGGGGAATTTTTTTCAATTTTGGGGGGGATTTTTTGATTTTTTTGATTTTGGGGATTTTATTTTTTAATTTTTTGGAATTTTTTTTTTGTGATTTTAAAAATTTTTTTCATTTCAATTTTTGGGGTTTTGGGGGGATTTTTTTCAGTTTTGGAGGGGATTTTTAAAATTTTTTTTTATTTTTGGGAATTTTTTTTATTTTTTGGGAATTTTCTTATTTTTTGTGATTTTTTAAAATTTTTTTCATTTCAATTTTTGGTTTTTTTGGCTCTCACCTGCCGGTGTGGGAGATGTGGATGCGCTTGCTGGGCCGCACCTCGACGCCGTTCTTGAACCAGCGCCCGGTGACCTTCTCGTCCGACACCTCGCACTTGAACACCGCCTGCTCCGTGGCCTGCACCGTCAGGTCCGCGATGCCCTGCAGCACCTCCAGCTGCTTCTCTGCACCCCAAAATCCAAAAAAACCCGTGAGAACCCAAAAAAATCCGTGAGGATCCAAAAAAAATCCATGGAGACCTCAAAAAATCCATGGAGACCTCAAAATGTCCATGGGAAACCCAAAAAATCCATGGGAACCCATGAGGAACCCATGGAGAACCTCTAGGAACATCTCCAGAACCTCTAGGAACATGTGGAGAACCTCCTGCAGCACCTCCAGCTGCTTCTCTGGACTCCAAAATCCACAAGAACCCAAAAAAATATCCATGGGGACCTCAAAAAAGCCATGAGGAACCCATGGAGAACCTCTAGGAAGATCTGCAGAACGTCCTGCAGAACCTCCAGCTGCTTCTCTGCACCCCCAAAAAGTCCACAGGGACCCCAAAAATCCATGAGAACCCAAAAACAACCCATGGGAATACAAAACAATCCATGGAGACCCCAAAACGTTCATGGGAAACCCAAAAAATGCACAGGAACCCATGGAGAACCTCTAGGAACATCTCCAGAACTTCCTGCAGCACCTCCAGCTGCTTCTCTGCAACCCCAAAAATCCGGGTGAACCCCCCCCCCAAAAATCCCTGGGACCTTCTGGGATCTCCAGAACCTTCCCTCAAACATCTCCAGGACCTTCCAGAACCACCCAGATTCCTTGGGACCTTCCAGAACCTTCTCCAACGTGACCCTCAAACATCTCCAGGACCCTCCAACTTCTCATGGACATCCCTGGGACCTTCTGGGATCTCCAGAACTTTCCCTCAAACATCTCCTGGACCTTCCAGGACCTTCCAGAACCCCCAAATTGCCCTGGGACCTTCTGGGATCTTCAGAACCTTCCCTCGAACATCTCCAGAACCTTCCCTCAAACATCTCCTGGACCATCCAGGACCTTCCAGAATCCCCAGATTACCCTGGGACCTTCTGGGATCTCCAGAACCTCCTCTCAAACATCTCCAGGACCTTCCAGAACCCTCCAGAACCATCCAGAACCCCCAAATTTGCCTGGAACTTTCTGGGATCTCTGGAACCTTCTCTCAAACATCTCCAGAACCCTCCAGGAACCCCAAAATTCCCTGGGACCTTCTCCAAGGTGACCCTCGAGCACCCCCAGGACCCTCCAGGAGGTCTCAGGAGCTCTGACCTTCCACGATGACCTCGGCCTCGGCCTCGCCGCCGTTGGTCATGATGCGGTAGCGGCCGGTGTCCTCCTTGGTGGCCTCGTTGAGGATCAGGAAGTGCTTCTTGCCGTCCTTCTTGAAGCGGTACTTGAAGGTCTCCTCGCGCGTCAGCTCCACGCCGTCCTTCGTCCTGCACGCGGACACGGGGTGGGCGTGGAGTGGACATGGGGTGGACACAGGTGGACATGGGGTGGACACAGGTGGACATGGAGATGGACATGGGGTGGACATGGGGTGGACATGGAGTGGACAACAGGTGGACACCAGGTGGACGTGGAGATGGACATGGAGTGGACACCAGGTGGACATGGGGTGGGTGTGGAGATGGACATGGGGTGGACACAGGTGGACATGGAGATGGACATGGGGTGGACACAGGTGGACATGGAGATGGACATGGGGTGGACACAGGTGGACATGGAGATGGACATGGGGTGGACATGGAGTGGACACAGGCGGACAACAGGTAGACAAGGAGATGGACACGGGGTGGACATGGGGTGGACACTGGGTGGATGGGGAGATGGACACTGGGTGGATTTGGGGTGGACATGGGGTGGACATGGAGATGGACATGGGGTGGATTTGGGGTGGATGTGGAGAGGGACGTGTGGTGGACATGGAGTGGACATGGGGTGGACATGGAGTGGACACCAGGTGGACATGGGGTGGGTTTGGAGACGGACATGGAGTGGACATGGGGTGGGTGTGGAGATGGACACAGAATGGACACGGGGTGGACATGGAGATGGACGTGGGGTGGACACGGGGTGGACCCTGGGTGGGCACGGGGTGGATGTGAGGTGGGCGTGGGGTGGATTTGGAGTGGACACAGGTGGACAACAGGTGGACATGGAGATGGACATGGGGTGGACATGGAGTGGACTTGGAGTGGACACCAGGTGGATGTGGGATGGATTTGGGGTGGACATGGAATGGATATGGAGTGGACATGGGGTGGACACCAGGTGGGCGTGGAGATGGACAAGGAGTGGACGTGGAGTGGACAGGGGGTGGACATGGGGTGGATTTGGGGTGGACATGGAGATGGACATGGGGATGGACACAGGTGGACAACAGGTGGACATGGAGATGGACAAGGGGTGGACATGGGGTGGACACAGGGTGGACATGGGGTGGGTTTGGAGATACAGACAGCCACAGGCTGGACACAAGGTCACATGGACACACGGCCACAGGATGGACACTTGGACACTCGGACACAGGATGGACACAGGATGGACACAGGACAGAGTGGATGGACAGACGGACACAGCCGGACAGCCGGACACAGGAAGGACAGCCGGACGGACAGCAGCCCGTACCACATGACCTGCGCGCCCTCCTCGGACACCTCGACCTCCAGCACCACGCGCTCGCCCACCACCACCTGCTGGTCCTCGGGGCCCTTCACGATGGTCACCGGTGGCTCTGGGGACACAGGGGACACGTGAGGGGACAGCAGGTGACAGCCACCACCTGCTGGTCCTCGGGGCCCTTCACGATGGTCACTGGTGGCTCTGGGACAGGTGAGGGACACGGGACAGGTGAGTGGACAGGGGACAGGGGACAGATCAGGGACAGGTGAGGGACACCTGCTGGTCCTGGGGGCCCTTCACGATGGTCACCAGTGCCCCCAGGTGCCCCGAACCCCTCCCCAGGTGCCCCAAATCACCCCCCAGGTGCCCCCCAGGTTCCCCAGGTGCCCCCCAGGTGCCCCCCAGGTGTCTCCAGGTGCCCCCCAGGTTCCCCGGGTGCCCCCCAGGTGCCCCAGCGTGGGCACACCTGGGCACACCTGTGCCCACCTGGGCACACCTGGGAGTGCTGGGGGACACCTGAGGGACACCTGGGGCACACCTGGGCACACCTGGGCACACCTGGGGGACACCTGAGGGACACCTGTGCCCACCTGGGCACACCTGTGCCTACCTGGGCTACACCTGGGGGTTCCTATGGACACCTGGGGCAAACTTGGACCACACCTGGGCATACCTGGGAGTGCTGGGGGACACCTGGGGCACACCTGGGGGACACCTGAGGGACACGTGGGCACACCTGGGCACACCTGTGCCATACCTGGGCACACCTGGGAGTGCTGGGGGACACCTAAGGGACACCTGAGTGACACCTGGGCACACCTGGGCACACCTGCACCCCCGTGGGCACACTTGGGGACACCTGAGGGACACCTGTGGCACACCTGTGCCACACCTGGGGGCACTTGGGGGTGCCTGGGGACACCTGGGGCACACCTGGGGGACACCTGAGTGACACCTGGGCACACCTGGGGGTTCCTAGGGACACCTAAGGGACACCTGTGCCCCACCTGTGTCACACCTGGGCACATCTGGGAGTGCTGGGGGACACCTGGGGCACACCTGGGGGACACCTGTGTCCCACCTGTGCCCACCTGGGCACACCTGGGCACTCACTTGTTGCTGGGCTTGATGAGCTGCCCGTTCTTGTACCACTTGAGCGGCAGGTCGGGGTTGCTGAGCTCCACCATCAGCCGGATCTTGTTGCCCTTGTCCACCTGGTAGGCGGGGTCCAGCTTCCGGATGAAGGCTGGGCACAGGTGAGCTCAGGTGAGCCCCAAAAACTGCTCAGGTGACCCCAAAAAAACCACCCGGAAACACCAAAAAATGCAAAATCCCCCAAAATCCACCCAAAATCCCCCGAATCCACCCAAAATCCCCCAGATCCTACAGAGAACCATCATGGTGCAGCTTCCGGATGAAGGCTGGGCACAGGTGAGCTCAGGTGAGCCCCAAAAACTGTTCAGGTGACCCCAAAAAAAACACCCGGAAACACCAAAAAATCCAAAATCCCCCCAAAATTCACTCAAAATCCCCTAAATCCTGCAGGGAACCATCAGGGTGCAGCTTCCGGATGAAGGCTGGGACAGGTGAGCTCAGGTGAGCCCCAAAAAATCACCCGGGAACCTGAAAAATCATCTGAGAATCCCCAAAATTCTACCCAGGAACCCTCAAAAATCACCTGGGAACCTCAGAAAATCCAAAATCCCCCAAAATCCACCCAAAATCCCCCGAATCCACCCAAAATCCCCCAGATCCTACAGAGAACCATCATGGTGCAGCTTCCGGATGAAGGCTGGGCACAGGTGAGCTCAGGTGAGCCCCAAAAATCACCTGGGAACCCCAAAAAACCACCTGGGAACCCCAAAAAATCCAAAATCCCCCAAAATCCACCCAAAATCCCCTAAATCCTGCAGGGAACCATCATGGTGCAGCTTCCGGATGAAGGCTGGGACAGGTGAGCTCAGGTGAGCCCCAAAAAGGCAATGGTCATCATCATCATGGTCATCATCATGGGCATGGTCATCGCCATCATCACGGTCATGGTTATGATCATGGGTATGGTCATTGTCGTCATGGTCATGGTCATCATCATCATGGTCATCATCACGGTCATGGTCATCATCAACATGGTCATGGTCATGGTCATCATCATCATCATCATGGCCGTGGTCACCATCATCATCATGGTCATGGTCATGGTCATCATCATGGTCATGGTCATCATCATGGCCATGGTCATCATCATCATCACGGTCATGGTCATCATCAACATGGTCATGGTCATGGTCATCATCATCATCATCATGGCCGTGGTCACCATCATCATCATGGTCATGGTCATCATCATGGCCATGGTCATCATCATCATCACGGTCATGGTCATCATGGCCATGGTCATCGTCATCATCATCATGGCCATGGTCATCATTATCATCATCCTCATCATCATGGCCATGGCCATCATTGCAGTCATAGTAATCATCATGGCCATGGTCATCATCATCATCATCATGGCCATGGTCATCGTCATCATGGTCATCATCATGGCCGTGGTCATCATCATGGCCGTGGTCATCGTCATCATCATGGCCATGGTCACCATCATCATCACGGTCATCATCACCTTGATCTTCTTGAGGCGCTTGAGCTTCCAAAGTCCTCCAAACCCCCCAAAATCCCCCCAATTTTCCCCAAATTCCTTCAAAATTTCCCCAAAATTGCTCAAAATTTCCATAAAATTTCCATAAATTTCCACAAATTTTCCCAAAATCCCCCAAATTCCCCCCAAAGTCCCACCTTCGCTCTTCTTGGGCTCCACCTTGATCTTCTTGAGGCGCTTGAGCATGCCGCGCAGGTCGGTGATGCCGTACTGGAAGGCGATGCGCTCGTACTCGCTCTTCTTGGTGACGCCCTTGAGCAGCTCCCAGATCTCGGGCGGGATCGTGTCCTCCTCGTCGTCCTTCTTCTTCTTCTTCACCTCCTCGGCCTGCTCCTCCCTGCGGAGGAGCCGTCATCATCGTCATCTTCATCCTCGTCATCTTCGTCTACTTCGTCCTTGTCCTGGTCATCTTTGTCCTCATCCTTGAACTCATCATCTTCATCCCAAAGTCATCCTCATCCTGACCCTGTTCCTGTCCTCATCCCATCCCCATCCTCTTCATCCTCACTCCATTCCTGTTGTCATGGTCATGGTCATGGTCATGATCATCGTGGTCATGGTCATCGTCATCATCATCATGATCATCATCATGGCAATGGTCACCATCATCATCATGGTCATAGTCATCATCATGGTCATGGTCATCGTCATCATCATCATGGCCATGGTCATCGTCATCATCATCATCATCATGGCCGTGGCCATCGTCATCATGATCATCATCATGGCCGTGGTCATCATCATGGCCATGGTCATAGTCACCATCATGGTCATGGTCATTGTTATCATCATGGCAATGGTCATGGTCATCATGGTCATCATCATGGGCATGGTCATCGCCATCATCACGGTCATGGTTATGATCATGGGTATGGTCATTGTCGTCATGGTCATGGTCATCATCATCATGGTCATCATCACGGTCATGGTCATCATCAACATGGTCATGGTCATTGTTATCATCATGGCAATGGTCATGGTCATCATGGTCATCATCATGGGCATGGTCATCGCCATCATCACGGTCATGGTTATGATCCACGGTCATGGTCATCATCACGGTCATGGTCATCATGGCCATGGTCATCGTCATCATCATCATGGCCATGGTCATCATTATCATCATCCTCATCATCATGGCCATGGCCATCATTGCGGTCATAGTAATCATCATGGCCATGGTCATCATCATCATCATCATGGCCATGGTCATCATCATCATCATCATCATCATGGCCATGGCCATCATCACGGTCATCGGCATTGTCAGCGCCATCAGCACTGGCATCTTCGTCATCTTTGTCCTCGTCCTTGTCCTCATCATCTTCATCCCAAAGTCATCCTCATCCTCATCCATGGCCGTGGTCATCGTCATCATCATGGCCATGGTCACCATCATCATCACGGTCATCATCACCATCATCATGGCCATGGTCATCGTCATCATCATCATCATCATGGCCGTGGCCATCGTCATCATGATCATCATCATGGCCATGGTCATGGCCATGGTCATCATCATCATGGCCATGGTCATCATCATCATCATCATGGCCATGGTCATCATCATCATCATCATCATCATGGCCATGGCCATCATCACGGTCATCGGCATTGTCAGCGCCATCAGCACTGGCATCTTCGTCATCTTTGTCCTCGTCCTTGTCCTCATCATCTTCATCCCAAAGTCATCCTC